GGAGGCAGAGGAGTGGTGTGAGAATGCCAGAGGCAGCTCTCTCAAGGCCGTGTCAGGCTCTCCCTACAAACTGACATTGACCTTTCTGTCTTCCTTGAGCACAGTGTAGTGCTGGGCAGGAGCCTTACAGCCTGCAGACAAGCAGTGCTTCAGGCCTTAGTTGAACCAGGCAGAAGTCCTGCACCCGTGTTTTGTTCAGTGGAAACTTTTCCAAATCCATCACTGTGGTTCACTGTGATCACAGCTGGGCTTGCGCTGCTGTGTGAAGGGCAGTGGGGAGGTGGAGTGGGGAAACAGGGACCAGGCTGCCCTGTGCAGCACAGGGTGTAACTGCTGTCCTTGTCTCTGTCCCCAGTGGAAGGACACGACTCCAGCGAGGACGCCAGAGCTTGCATGGAGCTGATGATCTGGAAGATCAAAGAAGACTCGAAAGTAAAACGATGACCTGCGCTTTCTCTCCCTCCTGTTCCTTCTCCACCTCTTTGAAGCAGTGCAATAAATGCTCAGAGTAACACTGTCCACCCGTACGCAGCAGCATGCTACCCCAGACTCCCCGTGCACTCGCAGGTATCTCATGGACTGCTGGTGGTGCAGCTAACGGCACCAGCTGGCTGCCTGCAGGTCCCTGTGTCCACATAGTGGCTCTCGGACCCTCTTTTCTCTGCCTGAGAGGTACTCTGTGGTACAACAGTTGCCCCGTAGGCATGGCAAGGTGGTTCTGAGCAGCACAGCTAGAGGGAACTCCGTGGTTCCTCGGAGAAGCTTGTAGAGGTAGGTTGGATACGTGCAGAAGGATCTTTCTGGTTCAGTTCAAGGTAGATTGTTACTGTTACTTTTTTTCCCAAATGTAACTTAAATTGCTTTTGTAGTCCAAAGCAGTTATCTTCCTGCAGAGTTGGGAGAGGGGTGGGAAATGAAGTAGAGTTGGGCAGGAGGCTGTAAAGTGGATTCTGTAGCTGATGTATGAGCAGTGAGCAGGGGATGGCGAGAGCAGATCAGGCAATCCTTTGTGATTCAGTGCTGACCCACTGTGCAGCACAGCCAGAGCTGCAGTGAGGAATGCTTGTGGAGCAGCAAGGTGGGCTCAGGGAGCTCCCTGCTGAGAGCTGGGTGGCTGCTGAGTGCTGGCAGCCTGCTACTGCAGGCTGGGCGAGGGAGAGCCCTGAGTGTCAGGCATTGCCTGGACCTCAGAGAGATGGAGCTGTGATGGGATGTGCCACAAAGGGATGTGAGGGCTCCAGGGCAGGAGCTGCACTGAGGAGGGCAGCAGTGAATGCAGACACTGCCACAGGTCGGTTGGGCTGTCCTTCCCCACACCCAGGCTTCCCCTTTGAGCTGTTTGGGAGCAAGGTTTTGGGGAGGACCTGGGTGCAGAAGGGTGGCCCTGAATGGTCCATGCACATGTACAGAACTCCCTCCTGGTCCATCTCTGATGGCAGGGACCCGATACGCACCAGAGCAAAAGCAATAGATGGAAATGCTCCTTTTTTTTTTCTTCTTTTTTTTTTTTCCGACTAGTTTACATGTTGGGAGCTTTCAGAAAAGCAGAAGCCTCCCCTGTTGTTGTGTCAGGCTCCCCGGGACAAAAGCAGTGGTGTCTGTTGTGCACAGCAGTGGATACCCCTGGCTGCTCGCTCTGCATTCCATCCGCTGGCTGGCAGTGGGGGGGTCCCAGCCTCTTTTTCCCCCCACTGGAGCCGTGCAGCTCCTGCTGCTCCCCTGATGCTCACAGGCCAGAACACTGCCCTGCCCTGGCAGCATTGCAGCCGTGGGGCTTCCACCTGCAGCCATGCTGGGTGCTTTCCTCCAAGCCTTCTCCCCTCCCCTGCAGGGAGCAGCGCTGTCCACCCAGGTCCAGGGAGAGAGACAGTTCAGAGCTTCTTCACCAGGGAGGGAAGCTTTCTCCTGCTTTGCCTTTCCCTGGTTTATCCCGTTTGTCTTCACTCCTGGTGGCAGCAGAGCCCTCCTGAAGCAGCTTTCCCCCAGGGGAGCCATCACCCCACCCCAGTGGGGTTGCGTCCTTCTGGGGGCTTCACCCCATTGTCTGCACTTGGAGAGGGCACAGCATCTCTGCAGTGCAATCAGAACCCAGAGAGAGGGCTGTGGTCATTCCCATGCACTGGGAAGGAGATGGGCACTACTGGTGTGGGTGAGAATTGGAGCCTCGTGTTGTCATTGCTGCCCCATAGCGCGATGCTCCCGGCGCTGAGCAGCCCCTGAGCCCCCAGCCCTGGGGGGGGGAAATGCTGTAAAGCAGAGGTTTGTGGCTGCCCGGAGTCGTTTGGGATGTGTATAAATGTTGTAACCTGTCACTTTTTTGTAATTGTTTTTAATAAAAGGGTGTTGACTAGATGCACGCTGCCCGTCTGCCTCTGCTTTACCTCCAGGTGGGGCCTGGAGGTGCATCCCTGGAGCATCCCTTGAATTGCTGCCTCCGTTATTTCCTCCGTGTCCTCCCGAAGTGGGGGACGATGAGGTGATGCTGTGGGTGCAGCCCATCTCGTGCCCCTGCCCCCCTTGCACTGCCTGGGGAGCCCCATCCATCTCCCAGGCGGGGGCAGGAACTTCACGTGCTGAGCGGAGGAGCTGATTCAGCACGGAGGAAAAGAGGTGAAGGTAAAAAGTTCAAATCAAAAACGAATCTGCCATTAGGTGACCTCACTGGCAATGTGTTTTATTTAACCTGGCAATGGCTGGGATGTCAGAACAGCTCACACTGCCGTCCCCATCGCCCCACAACTGCCCTCCCCGTCACCCCGCGCTGCTGCAGTGGGGCTGGAAGGATGCGGTGCCCGCTGGGTTGGGTGCCAACCACGGGGTGGGGATGCGTTGTTTATGAGCTCCCGTGTGCGCTGAGTACTTTATGGACTGCCAGCCCAGCACTTGCTTAATCGCCTCCGGGTTTCTGTGGTTAATTGCGGTGAGCAATTAATCTAATGACAGCAGGACCGGAGCGGTGGGGACTTGTGCTGGGGACGAAGCTCTCAGCGCTGCGGTGCGGCTCTGGGTTTGCCGGTCCTGATGCCAAAGCTTTGGTGAGCAAAGAGATGATTTGTATCTTCTCTTCTATGGCTCCGAAACCTGAGAGCCCCCCGTGGGCCGCCCCCCGTGGCTCAGTGGGGTTACGCCTGTCCCCATTCCTTCCCTTGGAGCTGGTGCCAAACGGGGGGAGCTCACCCCACTGCCCGACACCTGATGCTTCATCTCCCCTCGGAGCTGACGTGGGGCTGTGCGATGCTTCCCTGGTGCGGGGGATGCGGTGCTCTATGGGGAGGGCCGGATCGGTGGCGGGGGTGTGGCGGGGGCTGTCCCACAAACCCGCGTGGGCTGGGCGCAGGCAGCGGTGCCACGGCCGGGATCGGCGCAGGTATTGCGGCCGCTTTTCCCCTCTCCCTTTTTCCCCTTTCTCCCACCCGCACCGGAGCACCGGTGGGTGTGAGCGGGTGATGCTGGGGGCTGTGAGGGGCTGCGCTGTGCTGGGAGCTGCGTTTGGACAGCGCTTCGCTCCTCACCTGGCTGGGATTCGGTCCGTGGGGGTTGGATGGGGATGGGGACAGGGATGGCATTGGGGACAGGGACTGGGGATGCAGTGTTTTCCTGTGGGGTCGGATGGAAGCAGCATCCAGGTGTAGTTATAGGGTAACATAGAGCAAACAGCAGCAGGAGGGAAATTCACGGCCCCACGTGTTGTCTGGGCAGGAGCTGCCGGGTTGCGCGGGCGTTTCCTCTCCGATCCACACCCGGTGCTCATCGCAGGGCACCTCCGCCTCGCTCTGACCCGAATTAACCACGAGCCTCAAGTGGGTGCATTTTAACCCCTGTCTGCAGAAGCCCTGCGTGTGGGGCGCTCCCCTGCTCTGCCACCGGGGTGCTGTGGGGTCCCGTGCTGTGGGGTTGGGCTCTCTGTGCAGGCGCTGTTTCCCAGCACACTGCGCTCCTCGGAGAGCCCCGTGGCTGCAGGTGCTTAACGAGCTGTGAGCTCGTTTGGCATCACCTGGGAGCAGAGCACAGGGGGTGACAGCAGGCAGGGTTTGGGGTTTGGAAGCGCTGTGGGTGTGGGGTATGTGGATGTCACAGCCACGTCCTGGAGCAGAGCAAAGCAGCAGCATCCCACCTCTCTGCAGCATCCTCCTCCTCAGGACACAAACGTGCCGACCTGGTGGGGTCACTTAGGATGCGGGGACAAAAGCAGAGCCTTTGGTGGTGGAGAAAGCTGGTACTGTGGATAAAAGCTTTGGGTTTTGGTCCGAGTTCTTGGATAAAGCTGGGTGCTGCCCTTTGGGGTCACCTTGGTGTGGGGTGAGGTGGGCTCTGCAGTGGGCGTGGGGCTCCCAGCATCAGCCTGTGACATTGGGAGCGATGGGAGAGGAGGAGAGCCTTCTGTGGAAGAATGGGACAAAAGGGATCAGAGGAACGAGATGTGAAACAACAGGGATGGACTTCTGGGGGGCACTGTTGAATGATGGGGTAACGGATGCTTTACGCATCGCCGGCTTCTGACGTGTCGGGATCACAAAGAGCTGCACAAACATTAATTAATCTGCCCTAATGACCCCGTGTGGAGATCAGTGAGTGGAGGGGAATCTTGTCATCGATGAGGGCGGTGCTCCTTCGGCACGATGGCTGAGTTGGCGATGTGAAGAGAGGTTCTCCTTCAATGATTTCCCATGTCTTCATTGGAGAGGAATCTTCGAGTGTCAGAATGCAAACTGAGGCTGTAAGGGAGCCCCAGTCCAACCCTGAGGGCATGGGGGACCCAGCCCCACGCCAACACCCTTGAGTAAACCCATAACGGCCAATGTGTGATGGACCTTCCAAAAGAAATGCCATTGCATCACCACTTCTGTGACATTCAAACATTAAGAATGATGTACTTTCTCTGCCGTGTCCTGCCCCATAGGGGTGAAGCTCAGCTGCAGAGCATCCCAGTGGGTCCTGCTGTGGCTCAGCACTGCAGATATTCTGTGTCCTTGTCCCCAGGTCCTGGTAGAGGTGGCAGCATGGATGGGCAGGACCCAGCCCTGGGCTGTGAGCGTGAGCAAAAGGGGCAGCCAGGTTGGTGTGCAATGAGCATGGGCTGGGATTTCCTTTCTTTGGACAGTAGAACGGAGGACTGGTGTAAAGATGGCCCATCAGATGGGTGCAGGAGCTGGGGTCGTGGCTGGGATGTCCCAGCTTGGTGGTGTCCACACTGGGGTAGCAGGAACAGCATCAGAAGGGGAGCAAGCATCCTTAACAATAGCATTATGGAAGCATGTCTCCCCAGCTCACCATGAGCACCACAATGGGTCCCAGTGTCCCTGGAGGGGGTGGGGGGTGGTGGCTGAGCACAGCCAGTGGGTGACCGTGAGCTCTTCCAGCTTTCACCTGGGAAGTGCAGGCCAACAACAGAGCCCACCACGAGCAGCTCAGGAAGAAATCTGCCTTCTGTTTCAGCAAGAAGAAATACGCGGTGAGTCAGGCGGGGGCCAACCATGGGCCGTTTCTGGTGCTGTGCCCCCACTCTGGCTTTAACCTGCCTTATTTTGGCAGGGCAATGCCATTAAGACAGCCAAGTACAACGTCCTGACCTTCCTCCCGCTGAACCTCTACGAGCAGTTCCACCGCATGGCCAACGTCTACTTTGTCTTCGTCATCCTCCTGCAGGTGAGATGGGTGCGAGGGAGAAGCACGAGTGTGAAGGACTGTTACCAAAGGAGGGTTGTCTGGTGCTCGGAGCAGGGGACCATCTTTAGGGACACTTGTGTTCCCACCTCTGACCTTTACGGATGATCACTGTGGGATCTAGAGCTGACGTGGGTTCCCCTTTTGCACTAGTGCTGTAAGATGGTGTCAAGGGCACTGATCTGCAGTAGCATCCATCGGATTTCAGGACCTCTGAATGGCTGAAGCTGAGAAAAAACATTATTTTAAATCAGTTGGGTTTGGATATAAACTAAGATCATGTAGAAAACCGCTAGACAAAAATCCTACCGTCCCCAAATCTTAGCTTGGTTCCTGCCTTCTTTGGGCACTTCTAAGGAGGAGAGCTGGGACCTGAGGTGTCCCATGGTGGGATGGGAGTTTGGTCGGTGAGGTGCCCTTTTCTTTCCCCAGACCTTTCCTGAGATCTCCACGCTGCCCTGGTACACTCTGCTCTTCCCCCTGAGCTGCCTTCTCACCATCCGTGCCCTACGGGACCTGATGGATGACATTGTGAGTGTGGGTATCAAGGGGTGGGCGGCAGAATGGGTCCCTTTTGCTGTGGAAAGTTTGGGAGATGCCATCATTCAACGTACCTGAGGCACCATCAGCTCTACAACATCCAAATCACTTCGTATTTTCCCTTTGAAAGGATGTGGCCAGATGGTTTCCTTCCTTTAGGAGTGACATCTGTAATATCCTAATCACAGTTTTGGCCCCTAGAAATATCTTGGGGGGGACTTCTGCCCCTTCATTCATCAGAATGCACCACCAGATTGCTTCAGTGAGCAGATCCTGTCCTGGGGCTGAGGAACCAAAGATGTTCTGGCGTTAAGAGGGTTGCTTTCGTGGGACAAGAACGTCTGGCATGGCCCATCTGTTTCTTTTTCTCTCTTCTGTGCAGGGCCGACACCAAAGTGACAGAAACATCAACAGCAGGCCCTGCGAGATCCTGTCTGGGGAGAGGTAAGGGGCTTTGGGGAGAAGGGCTCGTGCTTTCCTTGCTGTGAAGCAGCGATGGCTCATCTGGGGTGCTGAGCAGCCCTGAGTTCAGCAGCTGGAAAGGGTTTTGGTGGCACCAGGCCTTGCAAGGTTGCATCGTCCCCCAGATCTGGTGCAGCTCCAGGAGTTGCTTTGGAAGGATGTTTGTGTCCCAACAGGTCCAAAAAGTGCTGGTCTGCACGGCTGACACCCGTAGGTAAGGGGGTGTGGATGTGACACAGCAGTCCTGTGCCACTCGTGGTGCCCTGATGGCCACAGCGGAACCGACAGCACCCTGCAGACCCCGTGCATGCAAGAAGCCAGGAGAGCCATAGGCTGCTCCAGAGGATGGATGCAGTGTTAACCCTGCTGTGCAGTATTCTAACCCCGCTGTGACCACAGGGCTGCGATGTTCACGTGTTCTGAATTCCCCTCCAGCTTCCGCTGGCAGAAATGGCGCGATGTCTGCGTTGGGGACATCGTCCGCCTGCACAAGGACAGCCTCGTCCCAGTGAGCGATGCCCCGTGGTGGTTGGTGTGCCAAGGGGGGGGGGTTCAGCAAGGAGAGACCCAACCAGGTGCTTTCCCTTTGCTCCTCCAGGCTGACATGCTCCTGCTGTGCAGCTCAGAGCCCAGCAGCCTCTGCTACGTGGAGACCTCTGACATCGATGGGTGAGGAGTGGTGGATGTCCCAGCTGTGGGCTGAGGTGTCCAGCCTTGGGCACCACCAGAAGTGGGGGTCAGGTATGCTAGGGAGGCTGGCAGTCCTGCAGAAACCATGAAATCTGGGGGTCCTCCAACAGCCAACCCTACAGACACTGCAGAAATGGAATGAGCCTTTCATTTGGCCCCCCGGATTTTGAAAATTGGAAGGCCAAGACAATTTTCAGGCTACAGTTTCAGGAAAAACCCTGCACCCTGCAGAGCAGCTCATGACCTCAGGTCTATCTCCTCATCTCCATTCCCTTCCAGCTCCCCATCCCTCCCGCTCATCTGCGGGATGATTTAATGACAGGGTCTCTGGGGGCATGGCTTTTTTCCTGTTTGATGTCTGCCACGATAGCTCCCTATCTTGCTTTTCATCACCATTGCTCATGTAATCACCCAATAATTAATGTCAACTTCTGTCCCATGGGCCCGATAGCAGAATTAACAGTGCTTTTGCCCTGTAGGGTTGTTTCATTCTTCCCTCGCTGGCTCTTTTTCGCAGAGAAACAAACCTGAAGTTCAGACAAGCCCTCCTGGTCACCCACCAGGAGCTGACAAGTGAGGAGAGCTTGGCTGCCTTTGATGGTGAGAATCCCAGATGGGTGAGGATGTGGCCTCCACCCCATGGTCACATCAGGGCAGCCTTGAGAGGTCTCCCATTGGCCTCACTCTGTCCCCAGAGAGACCAAATGCCATCACTCAGCCCTTTCCCTGCTGGAGGGTGGTCCCTACTGAAGGATCTGCATGGAGACCCTTCCCCAGCAGCGTGGTTGGGGTTGGGTTAGGATGGGGGTTAGGATAGGGACTACTGGATGAGGATGGGGGCCACTGGGTTGGGATGAGGGTATTGGGTAGGATGCAGGCCATTGGCTTTGCACACCTTTCCCCTGGCTCAGTGTCTGTTTTCCTACCGATATCAAACTCTGAGCACCCAGGCTTGAGCTCAGACCCTGGATTTTTCCCCCTTTGGTCCTCCATAGGATGCTGTGTCAACAGCTGTGGGAATGAAGGAGATTGTGCTTTATCCAACGTGGACTGGGCACAGCAGGCTGGTGCTCCAGCTCAGCCTTAACCTGAATCTCCCATCCGACATCTGGAAGACACACAGGAAAAAATCTGAATTTTCCCTTGAGAAATCCTCTTCTCTGGAAGAAACAAAGGGCCTCGTGTTTCCCCCACAGCCAACACCTCCTCTGTGTCCTCTGCTCCAGGGAGAGTGACCTGTGAGGAGCCCAACAGCCGCCTGCACAGCTTCACTGGTGTGCTGCAGTGGAGAGGCGAGACGCACGCGCTGGATGGCGAAAGGATTCTGCTGCGGGGCTGCAAACTCCGCAACACCGAGACGTGTTGTGGCTTGGTTATCTATGCAGGTGAGCACCAGCTCAGGAAGGACAGGATCCAGGATTCTGTATTCCACGTGCATCGTGTCCTGGATCCACGTCCCTTCGTGTCCCCTTGGCCATGGGTAGAGGAGGGCTGAGATCAGTGGAAGGAGCATTTTGTGTTCTTACTTACAAAATGTTTCTCGCCCAGGATTTGATTCCAAAATTATGAGGAACTGTGGAAAGATCAAGAGGAAGAAAACCAAGCTGGATCGCATGATGGACCACCTGGTGGTCATAGTGAGAGCTGTGCAAACGCCTCCTGGGGGTGCTTAGAAGCTTCCTCATGAGACACTGCTTCCTTGGGTGATGCTGATTTTGTTAAGCTTGAACTATCTTGCTCAGTTCTGGGTTCAGTTCCTGGTGGCTGTGTCATCTCTTCCCCAACTGGCTGCTGGCATTCCTCTTAGCAGGGTTGGGGTAGAGTTTGAGTTGGGGTCAGGAAGGTGGGGAAGTTGGGTTTCACTCTGTTTGCTGTGGATGTGTTCAGCTGAATTCTACGCCACAATCTTTCATCTCAGCCCAGGATAGCCTTCAGCTTCTGTGGTGGTCTCAAAGCAGCCTCATGCACACAGGGATGCAGTGAGATGGGCTGGAAGGGACAGTGGTTGGTGTTGGTCTGGTAGGCTCTGTGGGATGCGCCATTCTCAACCTGCCTTCCCCTGTCAGATCTTTCTGGTGCTGCTGGCCACGTCGCTGTGCCTCGCCATTGCCTCAGGGTTCTGGGCCAAGATGTTCCAAGAGAAACACAGCTACCTCGCTGCTCTCTATAAGCACACGACTCCTGCCAAGCAGGCTTTCTTCAGCTTCTGGGGCTTCACCATTCTCCTGAGCGTCATCATACCCATGTCCATGTATATCACGTAAGAACGATGGAGATTGCACACACAGCTGGCACTCAGTGCCCCTCTCCCTCCCGTTGGCCATCGTGAGCAAGGGTGATGCAAAGACACACAGGCCAACGTTGGAAATGGTGGACAGGCTGAGGATGATGAAGGCGATATCTCCTTCCTCGCATTCCCACTCTAGGTTTGAATTCATCTACCTGGTGAACAGCTTTTTTATCAACTGGGATTTGGAGATGTATTATGCTGTCAAGGACATCCCAGCGAAAGCCAGGAGCACCAGCCTCAACGACCAGCTTGGCCAGGTGGAGTACATCTTCTCAGACAAGACGGGCACCTTGACGCAGAACATCATGAGCTTCAAGAAGTGCTGTGTCAACGGGACCATCTACGGTAACTTTTGGTGGTGGCAAGGATTGCAGAGCTGGGTTGAGGCCAGACTTTGGCTTGAGGTCACTTTGGTTCTTTTCTCTTCTCTGGCTTGCTGGGAAGCTTGGGGTGCGTGGGTTGGTCTTGGTGGTGGAGGAGGTGAAGGAGGAGGAGGTGAAGGAGGAGGAGGTGAAGGAGGAGGAGGTGAAGAAGTCGTCCTTCCCTTTATGATTTATTCTTACGGTGAGTGCATGCGATGCTCTTTGCTTTCTTTAATGATTCAGATTACTTTTTTCCCCTTAGAAACCCCAATTCCTTCCTTCTCTCACTGCTGCGTTTACTCGAGCTCTTGGCTGGCTTTTGGTGCTTAATTAGTGACATTTAGAGAGCAGTGAGGGGCAGAGCTTTAGCACAGAGCTCCTTTTTCCTGAGATCCTTATCAAACACCTGAGACAAACAGTGACAAAAGGAAAGAGGAGGAAAAAAACCATTTGGCAAAGTTTCTAAGCAGGAATAAACCCAATCCTCCTCTTCCTGGTGTATCACATTGCACCTCTGCTAGCAGCACTGCCATGATCCGTTCTGCTTTCTGACAACTGGAATTGCAGATGAAAGCCAGACCTGCATTGTCAACACGAGAAACATAGAAAGGCTGAGTTCTCCAAGAATGAAATCAGTCAAACCTGAATGTCCCAATGGCTCACAATGGACAGACGCTGGGCCAGCACTGAAAATTCCCTCCTTGCCAGTCTTTTGGCCAGCAAAAGAATCCCAGCAATCCCTTCTAGCAAAAAGCTTCTTGGAGCTCTTGCTAAACGATGCTCCCAGCTCTTCAATCACTGAATTGTCTCTTATTTTGGCAGGTTTGGGCACGGGCCATGAGAACAAACAGCCACCGGTGCGTAATTCCCCTCTCCTGCATAACATGGGGCCAAATATGACCGTGGCAGAGCATTATAGGGTGGCCCCATTGTTTGGCGTCTCAGGTTCCTACAGCCTGCCCATGCCTCTTGCAGGGGTTGGGGTTGAGCCGGAGCTGCCATGGGGAGAAGATGTTGGACTCCAACAACGTGGGGCTGCGGGAAGCGGTGCAACAAAACAACGATCCGGTGCTGCGGGAGTTCCTGCGGCTGTTGGCCCTCTGCCACACCGTCATGGTGGAGGAGAGGGGAGGTGGGTTGGGGTCCCCAGTGAGTGGGTCCCCTTCGAGGCACAGGGGCTGTGATATCGTTGATATGAACTGCCTAGGCTGGGATTTTCTGTTGGATAGGGATAGAGACTGGGAGTGGCATCGGGATCCCATTGGGAATGGGGGTTGGGATCCCACTGGGATCAGTGTGGGGATCCCATGGGGAGTGGTGTTGGGATCCTGTTGGGAGTGGTGTTGGGATCCCAGTAGGAATGGTGCTGGGATCCCATTGGGCGTGTTGCTGGGATCCCATGAGGTTGGTGTTGGGATCCCATGGGGAGTGGTGTTGGGATCCTGTTGGGAGTGGTGTTGGTACCCCATTGGGAGTGGTGGTCCTTGCTTGTGAGGACAAAGAACACAAAGTATACTCACACAGCTATTATTCTCTCTTTTCATTAACTCAACAAAAATTAAAAAATACATATTTTAAAATTTAAAGATGTGGTAGATTTAAATCCTCTTCAGCAAAAGCGTATATGACTGTAAACCAGGCATGGCTTCTGAAATGGGATGGGTTGGGTGGATTGGCTGAGGTTTTGGTGTGCTGAATACATGAATTTTTTTAACCTTTATCCTTTGGAATATGTTTAGAAAAATAATTCTAAGGAGCAGAAGGAGTTGGACTTGATGATCCTCATGCATCCCTTCCAGCTTGAGATGTTCTATGATCCTACAGTTCTATTCCATGACTTTCCCTAGCTTGGTAGCTCAGGCTTCAAGGTCTCCATAAATAATGTCGGTGCAAGACTGAGGCGTTCCAGGTGTTTGAGAGATGCTCATCTAGGCGTCTCCTCACCCAATCCTTGCTTCTCTTCCACAGACCAACTGGTTTACCAGGCGGCTTCTCCAGATGAGGAAGCACTGGTGCTGGCAGCCAGGAGCTTGGGCTACGTCTTCCTGTCCCGAACGCAGGACAGCATCACCATCAGCGAGATGGGGGTGAAGAGGACATTCCAAGTGCTGGCCATGCTGGACTTCAACAGCGATCGCAAGAGGATGTCGGTGTTGGGTGAGCAGAGGTGGCAGCAGGACGGTGCTTTGCATGGGGACAGCGAAGAGCAGCTCTGTCCTTTCTCCCTCCCAGTGAGGGACCCACAGGGCACGATCCGGCTCTACACCAAAGGCGCTGACACTGTGATCCTGGAGAGGCTGCGGGGTCGGGGACCCAACCAGGACTTCACCGAGAGGGCTCTGGATGTGAGTCCCACAGCAGCTGGGATGTGAGGGGTTGGTTGGGTGCCCCGCTGCTTCTCTGTCCCCACTCTGGCTTTAGGATTTGGCTCTGTCGTTTCCCTTTCTGCTCTGAGCCTCAAATGCGCGCGGAATGGGGGCTGAGGGCACCGAATCCCCTCTTGGTGTTCTGCATCGCTCTCAGGTGTAGGGTCTGATATTTGGGTGGTCCTGCGAGGAGCCAGGAGTTGGACCTGATGATCCTGGTGGGTCCCTCCCAGCTTCTATGATCACTCCTGGGGTGGGGGGCAGCCAGAGCCCAGAGGAAACCTCAGACCCCATGTGAGCATGGAATCGAGGTGAGGAGGCCGCGATGTCTCATCTTGGCAGCACTTTGCAGAGGAGACCCTGAGGACGTTATGCCTGGCCAGCAAGGAGCTGAGCGAGGCGGAGTACGACGAGTGGAGCAGGAGGCACCGCGTGGCCAACATCCTGCTGCAGGGCCGGGCGTGTGAGCTGGACAGGCTGTACGAGGAGATGGAGCAGGACCTGGAGGTGGGATGGGGCCAGGGGTGGGGAGGAACCACTTGCCCTGTTCCCTACTGGCCCCACAGGGGGTAGGAGCATGGGGGGGTTCAGCTCTTTTGGGGCAGAGGGGGAAGAGTCCAACCCGACACCAATGCTCTGGGTGGGAGGGCAGGTGGAGATACAGGTGGAGATACCCCTCGGGGTGATTTTGCGACACATCCACCCATGGAAAGGAGCTGGAGCTTGCAGGAGACCCCTGGTTGGAGGCAGGGTTAACCTCCACCTTGCCCTGACCCTCTGCCCCATGTCATGGCACCTTCCCTCCAGCTGCTTGGGGTCACGGCCATTGAGGACAAGTTGCAAGAAGGGGTCCCTGAGACCATCCAGCTGCTGAAACTGGGCAACATCAAAGTGTGGGTGCTGACGGGAGACAAACAAGGTGAGTGGAGCCAACCCCAGACCCCACCAACACGTTTCAGTTTCTTCTCCAACCAGGACCAGAGATCAGATGAGACCCTGGGAGGAAGCAACAGTGGGGCTCTGCTGTTCCATTCACACAGAACAGTAGCACAACCCACAGATCATGTTACCCGTGGGGAAACTGAGGCAGGGGAAGTTCTCTGCATGATGGCATAGGGTGGAGAACAGTCCCAGCACCTGTTGGCCTCCAGGGCTGGGGGATGCCCTGGGATGGTGGGGGGCACGGCAACCCACTGATGTCCCTGTATTGCAGAAACAGCAATGAATGTTGGCTATGCATGCAAGCTGCTCTCAGATGACATGGAGATCCTGGAGGAGAAGGAAGTGAGGTGAGGAATCCTGACCTTCTGGTTCGTGACATCAGGGGGTTTGTGTAGGTGTGGCACTTAGGGACGTGTTTAGAGGGCAGTATTGGTGGTAGGTGGACAGTTGGACTGGATGACCTTAGAGATCTTTTTCAGCCTTAATGATTTTGTGATTCTGTGACACCCGAGGGCATAGGAACCTGTGCAGGGTGAGCAGAGCTGGAGATGCTTCTCCTTCCCCTTCCCATGGACAGCCTGGATGTCCATTCCCGTCTTCACCCACTGACACCTTTCCAGTCTTCCCCATTCATTTCTGCACCTACATTTGGCTGCAAAGTGCTCAGCTCGGTTCTCTGGCCTCCAAACCACAGACACCAGGGCTGATTTCTCATCTCATGAGCCCTTCCAGCCCCTCTTTGTCCCTCCTGCTCCCACCATTGGGTACCAGCCCTGTCTGGATCCAGCTTTGAGATGGCAAATGCCAACCAAGGAGTCATAGCCAAAGCTGACCAACATGCCCCGTGTGCCCTCCTTGCACAGCGAGATCCTCGAGGCTTACTGGGCAAGAAACAACATCAGTGGCAGTGACTGTGTCTCACAGCAGCGCCCGGAGCCTTTGTGCCACAAGAAGAGAGCTCTTGTCATCAGTGGGGACTTTGTGGTAAGGAGGTTAGTGGGGCTGGTTCTGCCCCAAGGCATTGGATGGCACCAGGAGGTACCCCAAAATGGGTGGCAAAAGCCACAGGAGCCCTGTTTTGGGATGGGGAACGAATGTTAGAGGAGGAGGTGACCTCACACTGATCATTTAGTGGTGGGGGCTTCACCCACACTGGCCCAAGTGGTCTGCTGGGGGCTCGTGCTCTTCTTCAAGAAAGGTGTAGATGTGGTACTGAGAGATATGGGGCAGTGGGCAACATTGGTGGTAGGTGGATGGCTGGACTGGCTGATCTTAGAGGTCTTTTCCAACCTTCATTATTCTATGATTCTGGTCATACTGGGACAAATTGTTCTCAAACAGTACCTACTGCATGTCAAACCCAGAGAAAACTTCTTTTTGTTGCACCTGAGAAATTCGAGAGCATCACAGATTCTACTGTGACATCCCTGGCAGTCTTTAGAAAACCTAAATTTGAAATGTTGTTACCCTCCCCTCGTGCCCATATTTGTTTCCCTATGCTAAAAGAGCTCAGACCAGCCCCATCCTCCCTGCCTGTAGGGGACCCATAGCCCCCATCCCTCTTGACCAGCCCTGGTGTGAGGTTCCAACCACGTGTGCTCTCCCCTAAGGACACAATCCTCCAGACAGGAGAGGTGCTGCAGAAGAAGGGACAGCTGTGGCAGCAGCTGGCTTGCCATGGGACCACAGACCCCCAGGAGCAGGGCAGTCTGGTGGAGAAGGCCTTTGTGGACCTGGCCACCAGCTGCCAGGCCGTCATCTGCTGCAGGGTCACCCCCAAGCAGAAAGCTCTCATCGTGCAGCTGGTGAAGAAGCACAAGAAAGCCACCACGCTGGCCATTGGGGATGGAGCCAATGATGTCAACATGATCAAAAGTGAGGCTGGGGGATGTGCTGCTGGGTTTTGGCTAGAGCATCCAACTAGAGTGGGAGTGGCGGTACCCCATCTACCATCACTATGTCACCTTCTCCTTTGAGGTGAAGAGCTGGGAGAGGAACACTCAACTCTTCCAACCCAACCCAATTCCCAACACAGCTCCCAGCACAACGCCTGACTCATCTCCCAACCTAATTCCCAATCCAGTTTGCAACGTGGTCGTGCTGGGAAGGGGGTGAAAAGCACAAGACCACGGAAAGGGGCAGGGTGGACTGCTTGCTTGGGCAGCAGGGATGTCTTGAAGACTCCCACGCCTCTCCAGCACCCCCCAACACAGGGCTGTGCCCTTTGCACACCCAGCTGTGCCTGCTGTCACACGACAGACAAAAGCAGGAGGGCTTTTCCCCTTCACCCATCAGCCCTGAGCGCAATCTGCCGGGCAAGCAAACCAAGAAAAAGTGCTCTCCTAAACCCTCACTGCTCACATCTCACACCCTGTGCAGCTGCTGACATCGGGGTGGGCATCAGCGGGCTGGAGGGCGTGCAAGCCGTGCAGTGCAGCGACTACGCCCTGGCACAGTTCTGCTACCTGCAGCGCCTGCTGCTCGTCCACGGCCGCTGGGGTTACCTCCGCATCTGCAAGTTCCTCCGCTACTTCTTCTACAAGACCTTTGCTGGCCTCATGACCCAGATCTGGTTTGCTTTTCATAGTGGATTCACGGCCCAGGTGAGCGATGGCTGCGTATCGGCACGGCACGCAGCCGTCCTGTGGGTGTTTGTATCTCCAGTGCGGTCTCCTTCCTCCCTGCCTGATTTTTGGGGGCTCCCCGGTTGAGATGCAGCTGGTTTACTCGCACTTGGGCTGTGGGATTGGGAGATGCGCCCTCAGAGGCACTGGCAGCTCTTGTGAGCAGCAGCTCAGCCTCATAAATGCGCAGGGAAATACACCACAAGGTTCTCCCAGAAATGGGAGCTCCTACCTAAGGGACAAAGGTTATCAGTGCAGTGTGTGGCTCCAGCCAAATCTCTGCAGCACGATCCCAAAGACCCACAGTGTGCTGCAGACAACCCAGCGCTGATGCAGATCTCAGAACAAGTCCATAGGGATTTCCATGGGATTCGAGGCAGGACTTAGCCTCACTGCAGTGCCTGGGCATCCTTTCTGAGTCTTCCCAAAGCACCACCGAGCTCACAGACACTTCATTCTCCCCGTAGCCTCTCTATGAAGGCTGGTTCCTTGCTCTCTACAACGTTTTCTACACCGCCTACCCTGTGCTTTCTGTGGGTCTTCTGGAGCAGGTATGGGACCACCAGGCTGCACCCAGCCCCTGTGCCTGAAGGGCAGACCTGCCGAGGGTGGGAGGACGATGCTTGACCCCCTCTATGTTCCAGCAGGACGTGAGTGCCAAGAAGAGCCTGCGGTTCCCTGAGCTCTACACCATTGGGCAGCAGGACGAGCTCTTCAATTATCGTATTTTCAGCGTGACGCTCCTGCATGGTGTCAGCACATCGCTCACCAGCTTCTACATCGCGCTCTGGGCCTTTGAGGACCACGTTGGCAGCAGGACTGTGGGGGATTACGAGTCCTTCTCCGTCACGGTGGCCACCTCGGCTTTGCTGTCGGTCCTGGTGGAGGTGAGCACTCCTCCCTGTGTCTGAGCTGGGGATGAACTGGAGGCTGTTGGCACGGATGAGGGGTTGGAGGCAAGCAGTCCAAATGGAACACGGGTGAAGGGACCCCAGGCACGCTGTGATGTTGCCCAGTGCAGCTGTGGATGATCTCCCTTGGGGCAGCGACAAGTGGCCAAATGGAAGTACATCCTCCAACCTTCACACGGAGTTGTATGTCCATGCAGATCATCCTGGACACCAAGTTCTGGACAGCGTTGTCTTTCCTGATGGTCACAGCCAGCTTGCTGCTCTTCTGCCTCTTCTCCTTCCTGACCCAGAGCATTGATGCCTTCAGGATCGCTCCTGCTGTCTTCCGTTTTCCAGGTCAGGTGCCCCAAATCCCTGCAGTCCATTCCTCCCAGAGCCAGGCCAGTCCATTGCGGGCTCCATGCCAGAAGCTGTTCTCCCAGTAGTTGTGTCTTCACTTGGCTGTATCACATCCCTCTTGCTAAATGATCCTGGATGACAGATTGACCATTTCATCATCTTGCAGTCTTGCTTTTTGATCCTGGTATAGATCCCTTAGCAGCTTTGTGAGCTGTGGGGCTGTCCCCTCACCATTGCTCTCTTTCCTCTCCACCTCTGCTGCTTGAACACTTGCCCTCAGATGCCGCCCAGAACGCTCTGACCGACCCTTACATCCTGCTGGTGATCCTGCTGTCCCTGGTGGTGAACACCATCCCCTCGCTCACCATCTGCTCATACAACGCCATCACAGGCAACACCAGCATCCAGCAGGTGAGGATCTGCTTCAAGGACCAGTGTCTGGAACCTGGAAGGGTGTTACTGGCGATGGGATGGATGCGATTCCCCAGGGAGGTCACCAGACCCCTGTTTCCTTGCAGAACATCTGCTGGAAGGCCAGACGGGAGCCGGAGCCCTCGGTGGAGCTACGCACCCACGTCCCCCGTGGTTCCTTCCACCGCCGTTCCAGCTACGCCTTCTCCCATCAGGAGGGCTATGCTGGCCTCATCACCCGTGGGGAGAGCCTGCGCACCAAGGGCACCCACAGCACCACCAAGGGCACCCACAGCACCACTAAGGGCACCCACAGCACCACCAAGGGCACCCACATCTCCAACAGCACCACTAAAGGCACGCACATCTCCAATAGCCCCCACAGCACCACCAAGGCCACCCACAGCACCACCAACAGCACCCAGAGCACCACCAAGGGCACCCTCAGCACCAAGGGCACCCAGAGCATCACCAAAGGCACCAACAGCACCCACAGCACCACCAACAGCACCCAGAGCATCACCAAGGGCACCCACATCTCCAACAGCACCACTAAGAGCACTCACATCTCCAACAGCACCCAGAGCACCACCAACAGCACCCACAGCACCACCAAGGGCACCCACATCTCCAACAGCACCCACAGCACCAACAGCACCCACAGCACCACCAGCACCCAGAGCACCACCAACAGCACCCACAACACCAACAGCACCACCAAAGACACCCACATCTCCAACAGCACCCACAGCACCACCAAGGGCACCAACAGCACCAAGGGCACCCACATCAACAGCACCCACAGCACCATTAAGGGCACCCACAGCACCAAGGACACCCACAGCACCACCAAGGGCACCAACAGCACCCACATCTCCAACAGCACCCACAGCACCAAGGGCACCCACACCATCACGACGCCCACACCACCAACGTCACCTGTGCCACCACAGCACTCCATCCCCAAGGGACAGCCCCAACTTCGCCCTCCCCCTGTAGCTGCCCTGACCACGTCCTGCTGAGGCCAAAGGAGTTTCCTCCTCTTGAGGGCATCTGAATGCAATGTGGGTGTTTTTGCTTTACGATCTGCACACAGTGGTCCCCAAACCCACGGCAGTGCTGCGTGCCGTGCCCCCATCCCCACCACCTCCCACTGCCCCCATTCTTTGGGGGACGTGCACAGCCCATGGGTTGCTGCAGAGCCACAGCTTGGGGAGGACAGACCATGCAAACAACCACCTGGTGACCGGATCACCATTTTTAATCCTCATTTCTGTAATTAAAAGCCCCCCGGGACACACACAGAGACGCGGGGGTGAATGACTAGAAAATAATTTATTGAAGAAACAGAAAGCTGCAGAAATACAACACAGTCATGACCAGTAGAGGATGAACAAATAGAGATTTTCTTTTTTTTTTTTTTTTCTCTTTTAAAACCTGTTGACAGGCTGGAGTTAAGTTTCCTGGTAATTTCCCCTGCGTGAGTCATTGCAAAGAACAAGGAACAAACTCCAGAGCACACAGCACAGTTTGGATAAAGTGCCTGACACATAAGACTCTTTTTTTTTTTTTTTTTTTTAAATTATTATCTTTTTTTTCTTTTTTTAGCATTTGTAAATAGCTTAAACAAATATAATTGCAAGACACAGAGGAGTAACAATTGCATTTCGCTGTAGAGTAAAACCTATCCCATGAGATTAACGATGAAGCAGCAGCAAAAGGAAAATAAGAATCATAAAAGAATAATTAAAAAAAAAAAACAATTCAGAGAGAAGGAAAAAAAAGCATTGAGCAACGGAGGGATGTGGGCCCCAAAGTAGGTGGGGTGGGTGCCTATTGCTATGCAGAGAAATGAGCAGTGGGGTGGGTGGGTAAACCCAGTGCTGTGGGCTCCTCCTGGGCAGGGTGAATTCTGCCTGACTTCTTGTTCTCCTTTAGAAATGTATAGGGGAGAAGGATGGAAAAGAAAAGACAAAACAAAACAGAACCACAGATGGATTTGTTTGTCTTTGCGTTTTTCATTTCCTTTCTTTAAAAAACCCTGAATGAAGAAATAATACAAAAGGATCCAAAGCATCCATACGCACAGCCCCAGCCCCGGCTGCAGCTCCTCTTCTGCTCCGAGATGAGGGAAAAGCAGAAAATATCCCCCCTGCCCCCTCAAAGCGACCCATGGATGAACCTTGGGTTCTGGCTCTGGTCAGAAGAGAGGTGCTGTATAAAGGATCGTGTCCTGATGCTCCTGGGCTTGGCACCAGGAAGGCAAGCTCCAGGCCCAGTGCTGGTATCCCATCCTTGGAGACCTCCTCAGAGCTGGGGAAGCTCAGCTCGTGGCTGGGCTATCATGGGATGTCAGTGCCTGAAGCTCCACTTTGAGGTTCCACGAGCCCTCTGCTCCTCCTCTCCCAGTGGGGATGGAGATGTTGCTGCCCCACTGCAAATTACATATATTTTTTTTACCTAAATGGAGAACCAGCCTGAGGCTTCACAAGTAACGGGATGACCCAAATCCCTGAAAACTTCCACAATGGAAATAGGGCACAATGACCAGGCTGAACTGTGGGACTGGAGGTCCCAGACACCCTCCTCTTCCTCGTCCTTCATCAGCACGGAGCCCTGGGGTCTTTGCTCCCTGATGCTCCCCACCAGGCAGGAGCTGCTCTTGTTGTTTTTCAAGGTGCCCCATCGGGCTCCAGTTCTCCTCCTGCTCCCCACAGCACAAAAACGCCCTTTTGGGGCAACCCTGGTCAAGAGAATTGTCTTTAGGACAGAGCTTGGATTGTCATTACCTGCAGGGAAAAAAAAAAAAAAAAAATCTTTGGTATCGTTGCAAGTTGCTCCTCAAGGCATTTTGGTAGGTGTGGGCAGCAGGCGAGGCCAGATCCGGCATAGGGCAAAGCCCCTCTGGTTCAGTGGGTGCTGGTGGGTGAAGGATAAGGACAGCACTCAGTGCTCAGCTTCTTTGGGATGTCTCAAGTCATTGGGTTCTTGTCCCGAGGTGGGAACCAGCTGGGCTCTGTAGATTCCTAGGACTGATGGCTGTGGGTTGGGTCAACGCTTGGTGACACCTTCATGCGGTTGGAAGCGAGGTCTGAGCATCCAGCACTGAGCTGGACCTCCAGACAGCAACGTTTCCCCAGAGGACACCAGGAGGGTTGTTTGGATGGATAGCCATGAAGAAGATGAAGGCTGCAGGATGCTGCATTGAAGAAGATGCAGATATAAACCCTATCATGCTTTTGGGGACCATGTTGGTGGAGCACAAAGGAGTTGAGACCTCGTTCCTTGCAGTTGTTTGAGCTTTGGGGCCACATCTAGTGACAGAGGTGAAGGATGGAGAATGAAGAGGCAGAAGAGGACTCAAGAATCAGCATTTCAAAGTGAAGGCAAGGATGGAGGCAGGTCTTCAAGGCCACCCCAAGGGAAAGCGACTCGGGGCCATCGTACAATCAATGGTTTGGGTTGGGAGAGACCTTTGAAGATCACCAGTCCCACTGACTGCCATGGGCAGAGATGTCCTTCACCAGATGAGGTTGCTCAAAGCCTTGTTGACCCCAATCTCGAACACTTCCAGCAATGGGACATCCACACCTTTGGGCAGCCCTGTTCAGGGTCACCATCCTCAACGTGACAAGCTTCCATTGCCAATGGCTGCAGCGTGGGGAGGAGGGCAGTGATGGGGCATCGGGGCCATTTCCCTCATCTCAGAGCAAACGAGGAGCCCAGAGCTTTGCAAACTCAGGTGACGGCGGCTGATTGTCTCTGTCTCTCTTCTGCATGAAGACACTTGGGCTTTGACACACAGATCTGGATAAAGCACAAAAAAATCCCCAAACCTGAGAGGTGCGGGACCTGGAGGGGTTGGTTTGGCATGGGTGGGCACACACAGGGGTCCCACGCCCCAGTCACCTGTACCTGGTTTGCTGGGCATGGGGTCGTGTGCCCCCACAACCCCCTGCAGCCCCTACACCGTCCCCCATTGGGGTAATACAGTGTGCAGAGAAAGGAAAGGGAGAAAAGAAGCGAACAAACCAACAGAGGGGGTAAAGGATGGCTCTCCCATAATCGTGTGATTGAGAAAAGAAAATAAATACGGTGATCCATGCAGAAAATTCTTAATCAACCCAGAAGTCATGGACAAAAAAAGCACAGTTTCTCCCCTCCCGCTCCCACCCGACCATCCCTCCCCGAATAATTATTACATTACTTCAAGAAAGAGTATATTTTTTCATGCATAAATCAAATTCTCATCTTGTCTTTTTTTTTTTTTTTTTTTTGGTCTTTTTTTTTTTTTTTGGTCTTCTTTAAATTACATTTGAACACAGAACACGTATAATAAATACTCTCGTACGACATGACTCAGAGAAAAGTAACACATCTGAACGCAAAGGTATCGTCATCGTTATTAGTTTTTCTTTTTTTTTTTCTTTTCTTTTTTTAAAAGGACTTGTTTAAATATGAAATCTGTAAACTCCGAGGGTCCTTTTTAAATCTTTCTCTCTCTCTCTCTCTCTCTCTTTTTTTTTTTTTATCGTGAAACTACCCAGCTTTCATTTCCTTAACATTCAATATGTCTCCCATTGAACGCGTCAAAGAAATAAGAACATGCCGTCTTCTGCAAAATTATAATTTAACAGTATAAAGCTTCAAGTCACAAATTCCAAAAACTAGCTAAGTCTTTTTTTTTTTTTTTTTTTTTTTTTTTTTTTTTTTTTATCACATAAACTATACATTAAATATTTTGAGGTATTTCAGAGAACATTGTCAAAGGCTTGTAAGGTCTGTGCTGGGTGGAAAAGAAGGCTTTCTCCTGCATAGAGAACGTCTTTGGTATCACAAGCCATGTGGGTGTTAGGGAGAAGTGGGGTTGGGCAGGATCTGGTCAAGGCAATAGTGTGGAGGGTATGGGGATGGGGGGCAAGCAGTGGGATGCTCTGACCTGCTCTCAGTGGGACGCAGGGGCTGCAGATGGGTCCTGGTGTCCCCATGGCGAGGCTCCCAGTTGGGTTTGAGACTTTGGCCAAGTTTGATCCAATCTAAAGGAGCCATTTCCCACAGGACACATCAGATGGAGCCTGCTGGGGTGGTGCAGCCTGGAAGGCTTCGCCCAGAAAGAAGGGGAAACCAACGCAAAGAGCCAAGCAGGTGCAATTCGACCCATGATTTCCCTAAGTTTTAGGAGATTTCTGTGGAAGAGCATCTTCTCCTGAGGATCCTCCCATTGCCTCTTCCTAAAGCAGAGCCGCTCCTGTCCCACCCAACAGTGAAATGCACCTCTGTTGGAACCTGGAAACCTTTCCTGCTGGAGCTTTCTTTCCAAAAGAAAGGTTTGGAGAAAGTCAGCAATGAGAAACAACACGCATCCTCTCTCTGTGCTACCAAGAAGGGAAACAGAAGCTCCAGTTCTGGGCTGAACCGCAACGAAACATCCATGGTGGAATCCATCCGTGGTGGAATCCATCTATGGTTGAATCCATCCGTGGTGGAATCCATCTATGGTTGAATCCATCCATGGTGGAATCCATCTATGGTTGAATCCATCCGTGGTGGAATCCATCCATGGTGGAATCCATCTATGGTGGAATCAATCCATGGTGGAATCCATCTATGGTGGAATCCATCCATGGTGGAATCCATGTCTCTAAGGTCCACACCAACCCAAGCCATTCTACAGTTGGGTTCTACCCGGTTCCAGAGCAGAGCTGGCCGTGGTGCTGCCCTGAAAGGACAGCAAGACAAATGGGGACACTGGGGACATCTGAAAGGGGGACACAATGGGGAAACCACAGCAAGAGGGAAGGGCGATGCTTCCTCTTCCAATAGGACAAAGGTTTGGCTTTCTGTTTTCTCCATCCCAACACCCAAAGACTACAAGAGTTGCCAGAATCCGTTCGGAGAGCTGAGGTAACAGTGAATCTTCAGGACAAAAAAAAAAAAAAAAAAGGAAAGAAAGAAAGAAAGAAAGAAAAGAAAAGAAAAAAAAAGCGGAGGAGCAAAGAAATGGCCACACAACTTTGGTACAAGAAAAAGGCACTCATCGACCACGCCGCCATCCCGGGGATGCTCGCTCGCCTTCTCTCGCTCTCAGGGGGACTCAAAGGGCGCAGGGAAAGCGGCGCTGCCAGCACAGACCAGACAAGGCAACAAAATCTTTGGTATCAGACGTGATTTTCAAATCACGAAAATTGAAAACTCAAGTGAGGTAGCCTTTATTCTCGGGTTCTCACTAGAAATGTCTTTGCATCCTTGAGGGCCTGTGGCATTTACTTTTTTTTTTTTCCTTTTTTTTGGTATGTTTTTTGTTTGTCTGTTTTCCTTTTTTTTTTTTTCTTTTTTTTTCCTTCCTTATTTTTTATTTCGTTTTGTTTTGTTTCTGCGTGTTTTTCATTTCCCAAACCAAGGCCCCCTTCCTGGCTTTTCAGCCCTTGAATACTACCCGATGGGGTTCAGGAATGCCACCCCCCATCGTCACCACGTCGCGACAAGACAAGAAGAAACAACGTCAGGGGAACGCCAGCGGTGGGGAGCGGATTGCAGGGGGGTGAGCTTCACTTCGCTGTTCTTTTCGGGTTCTGGTTGGCACCGGTCCCTTCCCAGCCCTTCTTCCTCCCTCTCGTCCATCCGCTCCCCCTGGCAATGGTTGGGGTTGTTGTGTGAGGCCATGCCCACGCTGGCCCCCAATTCCCACCCACCCCATCAGCTCTTTGGTAAATCTGTCCCAGAATTCATTCCCAAACCCTGCGGTGGGTCAGGGTTTTCCTTGTAGGGTTTTTTTTTTTCCTTTCTCTCTTTCATTCTTTTGTCCTTCCTTTCCTCTTTTTTTTTTTTTTTTTTTTTGGGGGGGGTGCTTTTCTTCGTTTTTTTTTTTTTTTTTTTTTCTTTTTCCTTTCCATTCTTCCTTCTTTTCAACAAGGTGCCTTCCTGTTACACAACAGATCGCTCTCAAAGTAAAGTGAATCGAAGAAACCATAGCGCTAGAACACAGATGGTACTATTTTACCCGCATAAATTCAATAGTGTCCCATTATTATTATTATTATTTTGGGTTTTTTTTTTTTGGGGGGGGGGGAGGGGGGTTGGCTTTGGAGGATTTTTCTTTCTCCCCAAGTGATGGGGCTGGCAAGGAGGACCTGGCCTTCCCCTCCATCCCCAAGCCTCCCTCAGCCCTTCCCAGTCCCTGCAGCTCCTTCAGTCCCCAAGGACAGCACAGAGCCTGCAGGGTCGGGGCGACGGCCGAATGCAAGGGTTTGGCCTCGTGATTGCTTTTCATATGGCACAAGTCACCATCGAGAGCTCGGAGGGATCGTTTTGAAGCTAGTACCACTGCTCCAGGATTGCGCGGTTAAGGCAGGTTGTTAATTGGCACAAAAAAAAAAACAAAAACAAAAATCTCTCGTCATTTGGTTTTTCCTTTTGGTAAATTTGCCGGTCTTTGCGTTGAGTTTGCTTGGCCGTGGTTTCTGTTGTTAATCCCGTTGGGGTTTGGTTGTTGGTTGGTTGGTTGGTTGGTTATTTTTTTTTCCCCTTTCGAGCTCATCAGAGAGTTTTCCCCTTCTCACACACGCAGCATTTCACAACCAGATCCGTGGGGTTTTCCTTCTCCGCTGCCTCCCGGGAGCGATTCGGTTTGGTTTTTGGTTTTGCAATATCTTTGGTAAGAGAGACGAAGACAAGTAAGGGCAAGAGTGCGTGTGGAGGGGAGGACGGGGCAAGACACAAAGCCAACAAAACCGCTTTGTCTGAGTTCAATCCTCAACCCAAAAGTGAACCAGGAATCCAATGGTGAATGCTGGAGCCAGCCCGGCCCCAAGCCGGTTGCCGGGACAGACGCGATTCTTCGCTCCAAGTCTCTCCTCCCATCTCCTCTCAAACAATTCATATTTTTAAATACCCGATTTCTGTAGCTAAAATGTGCTTCTTGACCTGCGTGGGCGCGAGGTGGAGCGGCCGCCGTGCCGCTGGGGATGCTCGGACGCATGGAGCCATTTGGGGGGACCCAGAGATGGGTCGGGGTGTGCGGAGGGGTCTGGTGGGGTGGGTGCTCCTGGGGGGTCTCCGGGGGGGTGAGGAAGGTGCCCATGGAGGGAGGTTGTGGGGCTGCCCTTGGCTGAGTTTTCAACAGCTTCAAGGGAGAGGAGCGCCCGCGTTTCGGTGGAGAAGAGGGTCCGACTGCTTTGGGAAAACCTGCTGTGCCTCAGGGGAGCAAAAAGCTTCAGCAAGCAGAGACCTGGGGTCACCTCCAGGCACCCAGAGAGTGTTTTCTCTGCTTACTCCCCTTTGAATAATGGGGATTTCGCCCTTGGAAAGCTGGGGTTGTACCAGAGACCAGCCCCACAACTTCACCTCCTGCGTTTCCTCCTCGATCTTTATCCCAAAACTGTGGGAGCCATAAGGGTGGTTGTGGTGGAAGCAGAAGTTGTGGGGGGGAACAGGAGGGGACAAAGTGCCCCTATCTCCAAAGTCTGAACTCTGGCAGGGAGGGTGAAGACAAGCTTTGTGAGGTATCCCCAAGCAACTCCTTTCCCTCTCCTCCGCCCCACATCCCACACTCCACAGGGGTTTCCTCAGAGCCCTCCATGGGAAGGAGCCGGCCCAGCCGCAACCTCCATCCCTGCTCCTCAAGCTGGATGGAGGTGGCAGCAGGACACGACACTTGTTCAGGGTGGGGGACTCGCAGTGCCCAAAAGCACCCACCCCAAATGGGGCATGCGCACGAGGCTGAGTTGGCTTCGTCATGAGGAGGATGTCCAGGAAGGGGCAGAGAGGGCTGAGGGACATCATGCTTTGGAGAAAGTGCTTGTAGAAGAAGAGGGGACCCCAGGGTTGGTGCCTGGCTCCTCCTGCCAGCGGTTCATACACCGCCGGCGGGCGTTCATGAAGAAGTTGCTGACGGTGTTGAGCTCCAAGCCCAGCTGCTGTGAGATGGTCATCTGCATCTCCTTGGACGGGCGCTTGTTCTCCTTGAAGATGGCGATCAGGGTGCGGCGCTGGAGGTCCGTGAAGACCAGCCGCTGCTTCTTGGGCTGCAGGCTCCTGTCTTTCTGCTGCTCTTGCTCTTTGCGTTTGCAAGCTAGACGTTCAAAAGAGAGAACAGGGACGTTAATTGGTGCTGACTGCCCTGGCCTGCTTGCAGGCTGCCTCCCAACATCAGGCCCTTCCTTCCCTCCAGGGAACCTGCTGGCTTTGTGCCCTCAGGTGCCTCCCTCCTCTTCCTCCCTGGGCCTCCCAAGCAGCAGCGTGAGCAAAGCCTGGGGGAAGCCCAGCACCTCCAGATTCCCAACATCCCAAATCTCAGCATCTGCTCCTCAAGCTGGATGGAGGTGGCAGCAGGACATGACAGGCAGGCTGACCCTCGGGCTAGAGACTGAGGAACTCCTGCACTGCCTCTGCTCCCACAGCCTGGCTATAGGGGCTGCTCTGCTCCTAAATTATGGGGATCATCCATCAGCCTGCCTCCTTTGCTGTGCTCTGGCCTCCATCGCATCCTTCACAGATCTTACCTCCTCTTGGCTGTCACATCCAGCTGCTGCCTCTAAAACAAAGGGGACAGCTGGGGATGGGGATGCTGGGGACTGCAGTGGACATTTCATGGCACGGACTGACTGACTGATCCTGTTTCCACTTCCTCTGGAAAGGGTTTTCCCATCTCCAAAGGTTGGAGAATAGCCAGAGTGGTCTGAAAACCCAACACGCTGAGGTTCATTGTGTGCCTTCACCACTGGATCTGCTGGCACGTGTGTCAGGGTGAGCCAGCATCTAATTAAAAGCTTTCCCTGTAGCTTCCCTTGTGTCAGGACATAGGGTGCCCAGGGACTTGGTTGGGTCAGGGCTTGTGAAGGGCATGGACAAGGCCCTGCAAGTCTGGGAATAAACTCTTTCTTCCTGGGAAGCTCACAAAAGAGTCACAAAAGCATGGACTGAAGTCTGTCTGAGGAAAAATCCCACCCTTGCCCCAAAAAGAAGCAGTTTTCAGCTTTTTTTGGCTCTTCCAAAAGGATTTTGCAGGGAGGGCACAGGTCGTTGGAGACATTCACTGTCTAGAGGTGGGTGGAGGACACATGTCCACTTGCAGGCACTTCCAGGAGCCTCTTTGAACTGCTGCACAGCTCAGAGGAGCCAAAGGCTGAAACTGAAAGCAGCAATGGGGCAACACCATGGTGGGGCTGTGGCTGGTTATTGCCTTGCTGGCCTCCTGCCTGCCCTACAAACCACTGCCAGGGCAGAGCAGCAGTAATGGGAGGGGGCTGGAAGCCACTTCTTCCTAGCTAGAAAACAAGCAATGCCTCTTTTTTTTTCTTCATCCTCCCTGCCCTGCGGGTCCTCTTTGCACCACCTTAAGCTCACATAAAAGGACATCAGCCACCCCTTCCACCCAAAGCTGGGGAGACCCAGAGCTCAGCAAAGCAGGTAATTAATTCACCCAGCCCATTTAACCTCCTTTCCCTGGTCGCTGGGCTCGCTCCTCAGCTGGCACTTGCTCCAAATCAGCTGCCCCTGGTGAAGCAGAGCCTTCCCCCTCCCCTTACCCCCCCAGCAGGGTTTGCAAAATGCCCTGAGGCTGCAAAGCAGCACCTGCAGGGCCGTGGGGCAGCCTGTCCCAGGGTTACCATCCTCAAACAGCCAGCAGAGAAGGGTTGAGTGGAAACCTACCCTATGACCATCAGATGCTTGCAAAAAGAACAAACAAACAACAACAAAAAAAAAGCCTTTATAGAAAATCTGACTTTTTTTCTTTTTCTTTTTTTTTTTTTTTTTTCAGACATGTATTAAAAATCCAAAAAGAATCCCTCCCCAAAAGCCCCCGATAACAAATTGGAAGACATCCCCCCACGCCCTACTGCATCTTCACCCACCACCACGTCCCCTCCCAGTGCCCCCCAGTGTCCCCCTGGCATGCTGGCAACCCACCCCTGCACGATGGCATGTGCCCCACACAGATACACACCGGGTTCACAGCAGAGATGTGAGATGTGTGTGCACACGCAGACGTGCCCCCATTGGGAAGAGCCTGCTGCAATCCCAGTAAAGCTGCAGAGCTGCACCCGTTCCCACTGCTGGATGGCCAGCCCATCACCCAGCACTCCGACTTTGCAAAGCCACATTTCTCCTTCCCTGCTTCAATTATTTCAAGTAATTATTACAAGCCAGTCACCCATTAATAACCCACAGCTCCGAGGCAAGCACTGACCACTGGGGTCTTGCTGATCAAACCACAGCCCAGCACCAGGACCGGTGCTGAGCACTGCCCAATAGAAGCGATACCCAGCCCTGCACCCCTCCATCCTCCCATTATTTTTGACCCACAGCACAGCAGCGGATGCACCCCACGTTTCCTTTATTTATTTGTTTCTTTATTAATTTATTTTCCTGCTGATGCAGCCCAGCAACCCCCCCCCGGCCCCATCTAATTACAGCTCGGCACAGCACAGATCGATAGTGACGCTGGTCAGATCTATTTACAGCCACGCACCCCCGCGGAGGGTCCTTCTGCTCCCTCCCCCCCCCAGAAGGCAATGAGGACAGGGGGCAGCCAGGGCACAGCCTGCAGCCCTTCCCAGGTCAAGATGGGAAGATTTTGTTTGTTTCACATCTCCTATTTTTTCCAAGTCTCGAACCCCCAGTGACTCATCTTTGGGCTCCACGCCGTTCTCCTTCCCATCCTTACACGTTCTCCAGGTCTGATCCCAGTGCCTGGGGACAGGGACACACAGTGGGGTGCTTCCACACCTGCCCCCAAGTTATTTACCCACAGAGCACAGGGTTTGCTCCCCGGCTCATCCCGCAGCACCAGGACCAACACTGGGGTTCGGGATCTGGGCTCCCCATCACGCAGGGGATGCTCCGGGAGCTGTCAGTGCTGCGCCCACCCATCCCCACCGCGCAGTTCTTCCTCTCCTCCCAGCTCACTGAGCAACGCGTGCAGCTCTGAGACCTCAACAACTCCGCCAGGTTCAGCTGGGGACCAGAAAGAAGTGCAGGAGCGGCAAGGAGGCGATGGCAGACAAGGGGACAGCACGGAGGCCGTGCCTTTTGGACACCAGGCACGCAATCCGACGGGCGTTTCATCCCCAAAAGAGCTGATCTGGCTGCAGAAAAACCACAGGGAGCAAAGCCGAGGAGCAACTCCAGCGAGAGGAAAGACTTCGGAGAGCAGCGGCATCCCACCCACCTTCCCCAAAGGCTTCTGCCGAGGGGTTCTGCCTCCTCGGAGCCGAATGTCAGAGGGAGAGCGCTTTCCTTGACTTAACCTTGACAGCTCAAAGCAAAATAACTCCCAAATCATTTCTAAAGGGACATAATAGAGACAATCAAATGGCCGCTGTTCAGAAGCTGCGATTATGCCTCGCAGCGTGAACTCCGCGAAGCATTTAACTAATACCTGATGGCTTTGCAGGCTTCCGCAGCCTGCCAGACACTGCTTGCTCTATTATACCCGCAAACCTCTGTTTTCTCAGCCCCAGCGTGCTCTCCCTCTCCATTCACTTGCAATACAACCTGTAATTTTCTGCCCACTTTGCTTAAGTGCTGGTGATTTGTTGAAATCACAAAAGACAGCCAGGGGCTTTCAGAGCCAGCACGCCGGCTGCAAGTGAGGTTAGGGTGAAAAAAAAAAAACCCACCACCGGCTTTTCTCTATTTCTCCCTGTCAAATCGGCTCGCAGCGGTGCGAAGGGGCATTTAGGGGCTCCTAGGGAGAAGGCTGAGCTCGGGGTCTGCAGCTCTGAGCAAAGTGGGGTTTGCCCATTGTGGCAGAATCACATTTTATCCTGAGCAGAATTGACCCGGTGGCATCTTTACCCCAAATACAGAGCAGAGCAGTGGCGAGGTTTCACTTCGCAGCTCGGAAAGCAAATGGTGTCCTGGGCTCCATCAAAAGAGGGGTGGCCAGCAGGGACAGGGAGGTGATTGTTCCTCTCTACTCTGCTCTTGTGAGGCCCCATCTGCAGTGCTGTGTCCAGCTCTGGAGCCCACAGTACAAGAAAGACAGGGAGCTGTGGGAGAGGGTCCAGAGGAGGGCCATGAAGATGATCAGGGGACTGGAGCACCTCCCCTGTGAGGACAGGCTGAGGGAGCTGGGCTTGTTCAGCATGGAGAAAAGAAGGCTGCGGGGTGAATCATTGCAGCATTTCAGTACCTAAAGGGAGCCTACAAACAGAAGGGGAATCAACTCTTTGAAAGGATGGATAACTGCAGGACAAGGGGAAATGATTTGAAATTGAGGAAGGAAAGATTTAGGTTGGATGTCAGGGGGAAGTTCTTTACAGAGAGAGCGGTGAGGTGCTGGAACAGCTGCCCAGAGAGGCTGTGGATGCCCCGTCCATCCCTGGAGGTGTTCAAGGCCAGGTTGGATGGAGCTTTGGGCAGCCTGGGCTGCTGTGAAATGTGGAGGTTGGCAGCCCTGCACGTGGCAGCAGGTTGGAGCTTCATGATCCTTGAGGTCCCTTCCAACCTGTACCATTCCGTGATTCTGTGTGCTGTGCTCACTGATGGGACTTTCACTGCCAGAAAGACACTGAGGTGCTGCAGTGCATCCAGAGAGGAGCTGTGAAGGTCTCACTGTGGCTGAGGGAACGGGGTGGGACAATATGGAGAAGGGTCAGGAGACCTCATTGCACCTGAAAGGAGGTGGTGGTGAGGGGGGGTCGGCTCTGCTCCAGGTAACAGCGATAGGATGAGGGGGAATGGCCTCATGTTGCACCAGGGGAGGGTCAGGCTGGGTATGAAGAACTTCTAATCCAAAGAGTGGAGTAGCATTGGCACAAGCTGCCCAGGGAGCGGTGGGCTCACCGTCCTTGGAGGTGAGCAAGGAATATGGAGACGTGGCACTGGGAGACGTGGTCATGGGCGCGGTGTGACGGGCTGGGGGCCTCAGAGGCCTTTCCCACCCTGAACGATTCTGTACGACTTGACTTTATGGAGTGGGAGAGAAGCCCACAGGGATGCGACGCACACCGGGTTCTCCAGTGGACATTTGGTCACAGCAGCCCAAAGCAGCCCCTCCCGTCGTGCTGGAGGACAACGACAACCTCTGCACCCAGGCCGCCCCGCCGCCATTTTGGGGCTCTGCTG